CACATGGGTAGAAGTCAGAGGATGCTTTGGGGGAGTCATTTCTCTCCTTCCACTATGTGGAGAGCTGGGGATTGAACTCAAGTCATCAAGCTTGTTGACAAGTACCTTTAATTGCTGAACCATCTCATTAGCCCAAGGGTGGACTTTTTCCCCCCTTGCAAGTGTATCCAGTCGGTCTTCTGGCATTGCTACACGGCCATCTACAAAGTTCACATCTGAGAACTGTACAATCAAATGTTTAAAAAAATTCCGAAGGCTAGATGAGATAAGGAACATTCAAGGTGGTAGGCTTGGAGCACCAGCCAAGGACCACGCATGGACTGGACCTAGGGCCCCTGCTCAGATGTAACTGATGAGCAACTTGGGCTTCATGCGTGTTCTCTAGCAAGGGGAGAAAGAGTTGTCTCTGACATGGACTCTGTTCCCTGCTTGTTGGTCCCTTCCCCTTGGCAGGGCTGTCTTGCTACAGAGGAAGAGGATGTGCTCAGTCCTGATGTGACCTGATGTGTTGGGAAGGGTTGGTGGGGGGAGCTCCTCTTTTGTGAGGAGTAGGGGAGAGGGTTAAGAGGAAGAGGGGGGAAGAGGGACTGGGAGGAGGCGAGGGAGGGGGCTATGATAGGGATGTAAAGTGAATAAAAAAAAATTCCAAGACATCCCTCCTCACAATGTTTTAAGTAATATAATTTTGTATTTGGCTGCTATCCTGAACTACATCACAAACTTTAGCCTATTCTCCAGCGACCATGGACACGCCCCCAACTGTCAGGTCTGGGCTTCATTTCTGCACAGTGCTAATTCATACACATCTGGTTCTCTCTGTGACTCCTGATTGTTCTGAAAACTAACTTGGAGAACAGAACAGAATGTAACTGATGTTATTTTTCCAAGGAATGGGGTCATGTCTTCCTCTTCTGGGTGCTGTGTGGGGAGAATCGAACAAACGTCCATTTCCTCTAGATATGGCGCCATGGCAAATGAGAGTACAAGCCGCTCGTGAGCCGGCGGCTTTGCTGGGCTCACTTACAGGAGCAAAGATGAGGGACTACTCATAGGAGTGTGGCTGACTCAGGTCCCACCCACCGTAGGTGACAACTTCTTGGAGCACCCCTTCACTTAGCCCTCTCTCTCCTCTCTACTCCAGCATCTCCTAAGACCACGTGCAGCCGGAGTGCAGGAAGGAATGACGGTTGGAACCCCAACTGAGGGTCTGTGACTAGCCTTCCTTTCTTTACGCTAGTCATCCTGTTGGCTAGCACTGTTTCACTGTGCTTGTACTGTTACCAAGACTATGGGCCAAGCCTCATGTGGGTACCACGGCAGCCTCTGCTCCGTGATGGCCGATGATCACGTCACGCCTGAAGGAAACGGCCACACCCCTACCATATACATGGTTAGATCTGTGGAGTCTGGCGTGACGAGTTGGGGGTGTTTCCTCGACAATCAGCAAAAGCACGCACTCTTTGTATTAGTGCCCTGCCATTAATTTTTAAGTTCATGTGTGAGTCTTTATGCCCACGTATTTGCAAATGTGTGACGTGCGGGTGTGTGGGTGCGCATGTATGTGTGTACTGGCACATGTACGTGTTCACGTGGAGGCTGCAAGTCGGTCTCAGGTTTCGGTGAGACAGGGTCTCCCACTGGCTGGGACGCTCACTGATTCAGCCAGGCAGGCTTGGGAAGCAAGCCTGCGGGATCCTCCTGCTTTCATCCTCCCAGCTCTGGGGCTTCCGCCACCACGGCTGGCTTTTCCTATATGCATTTTAAGGGTTAAACTTAGATCTCCATCCTTGCACAGCAAGTGCTCTACCTGCTTATCCAGAGATCGAAACCAGTGACCTGCCATGTGTGTTCCCCCCCCACCCTTTCCCCGTGGTTACACATTTTGTGAGTGACGGACACTGTGAAGGGAGACTGACAGTTGGCTCCTGCCTCATCCATATGGCTGTTTTACTTTTCAGGGCCCAGAGCTTTGGTGAGGCCTGTCCCAGTTGCTATGATGAGTGAACAGTACCTCTGATAGAAATAGGGAAGTCAGGAAGCGCAGCCTATTTTGTGGGAAGATGATTAATTCCGTTTTAGACATTTTGAATTTGAAAGGAGGCTTTGGCACCCGGGTGGCAGTGCCTGCTGTTTAGCTGGGGTTTCGGAGTCTAAATAACTCCTGGGTGCCTGGACTTGTAGAACTGTTTGATTTTTTGTTTTCTCCTCTAAGTGGCTTTGTGCTCCGGTCAAGTCTTTCTCTTAGGGATTTCACTGTTTGACTCTGTAGCAGCTCCAAGCCTAAGAGGCAACCATGTCTTAGACTTGAAGGAGAAGAGGGGCGAGGTGCTGTCTGCCTCAGTCTATCGCTTAGTCCTGTTAGAGGGAAAGATGACAGGAGAGTGGTCCCTGTCCTGGCCAGGGAAGGCTGCTCTTTTTCAGAGTCTTCAACTTCCTTCCTCTTTCTCTTCCTCCTTGTCTTCTTCTTCCCCTCTCTCCTCCATTCCTTCCTTCTACTCTTCCTCATCTTCCTTCTTGTCCCCTCCTCCCCTTCCTCTTTTTCTTCTTCCTTTTCCTCTTTTCTGCCTCGTCTTCTTCTTTCCTCTCTCTTCCCTTTCTTTCCTCCCATTCTCTCTTTATTTGTTCTTTGTTTCACTATATAGTTCAGGCTAGTCTTGAATTTGCTAGGTAGCCCAGGCTGGCTTTAAACTGGTCATTCTCCTGTTTCGTACTCTAGAGAGCTCAGGTCACATGCTTATCCTCATTTGGACTTTTCCAATGAGCAAGGTCTGAGTGCTTTGGGCAGTAATTCTTGGGGACTAACATTGAGTTGTCTGTTTTTGTTTTTTTTTTCTTGTATGTGTACATTTCAGAGGACACAGAGGTTAACTGAGCAGGTGAAAGCTTTAGTGCCCAAAAGGACCCTACAGGTTTCTTACCCAGAGAGTAGAAGATGTGTGGGGAGGCATCCCTGTCCTGTGGGAGAAGGCCTTCAGCTTGTGCTAGGAAGAGATCACCCCTTCCACCAGTGTGTGTGTGTGTGTGTGTGTGTGTGTGTGTGTGTGTGTGTGTGTGCCCCAGAGGAAAACCTTGGGTGTGGTATCCATCTTGTCTTTTGAGGCAGTTTCTCTCATTGGCTTGACCTAGCCTCTCAGGCCGGAGATCTCAAGGGCTCCATCTCTCCAGTGTTGGGGTTTGAAGTGTGCAGCAGTATATCTGGCTTCTTTTTGTGTGGGTTCCGGGGTCATGCTGAGTTTCTCAAGTTGGCAGGGCAAGCACTTTACCCAGCTCTCTCCTATGTGCTGGGGACCTGCTAAGCCCCATTACCTGCAGGAAATTTTGGGGCGTATTGTGAATCTGGCCTTGAGAATTCTTCCATTGTGTTTGACAGTGTTCTAAATCTCTTCATTCTTGTACACCTTAAGATGCCATTTCCCTTCTTGGGAAGCCATTTCTGGAAGTAACCTCTTCATTCCAATCCAGCTTGGAGGTTCCACCTTCAATTTGCACATCACTGCATGCATGGATTTGAAAAACTTGGGGTTGTGTATGGTGGTAACTCCTTGTAACCCCAGCACTTGGTGGCTGAGCCAGGACATGTTCAAGTTCAAGACCAGCCTGGGCTATGTAGTGAGTTTTGGGTCAGCTTTGAAACTTATATTTTCTTTTCTTGATTTGTATGTGTGTGAAGGTGCAAATGCCTCTGTGTGTACAGGTCCATGAGCGGGCCAGAGGAGCACATCGGGCATCTTGTTCTATCATTTATCACCTTATCCCCTTGGGAAAGGATGTCTGGCTGAGCCTGGAACCAAGGTGGCTGCCACCAAGCTCTGCTGTTCTTTTGTCTTCACCCCCATCCCCCATAGCACTGAGGTTATAGGCACACACAGGGATATGCCCAGCATTTTACATGGATGCTGGGGATTTGAACTCGGGCTATCACACTTGCTCAGAAATAATCTTCCCCATTGAGCCATCTTCCTAAACTCTCAATTACAAAAGTTAAAGATTTTGTGCATCTCTTCCCTTCCTTGAGGGTTGTAGGACTGGAACACCTGCCTTCCCCCAAAGAATGTGACCTACTTACAGCTTCACTTGGGCATAGCCAAGATGTCCTGTCTCTGGATAGGTCAACGTTTCTGGAATTCTCAGGTTTTCCTACACGAAGCAATAATATTTAAGGCTCAGGAGAAGAGCAAAGGGTGTTTTTATTTGTATGAGGCAGTGGTGATGCTGGCCCTGGTGGCGTGGGTCTGCATCCCCGGCTGCTCAGGGGGCTGAAGCTGGACTGCAAGGTGAAGGCCGGCCCAAGGTACACAGTGAGTCTAAGTGCAGCCTAGGCTATAAAGTGAGTTCTAGGCCAGCCTGGGCAAATTAGCAGGGCTCTGTCTCATGAGAAGAAGGTCTGTTGGACCAGAGATGCAGCTCAACTGTAGAATGCTCGCTTGTTAGTTGTGAGGCCCAAGTACAGCCCACAGTGCTGTGAAAACAAGAGCAAACAAGTGAAACCAAAACCCCAAACAAAGCAAAGATAAAAAGAAGCAGTTTGGTGTCTCTCCTGCTTTTCTGTGGTTTGCAAGGGCATGGCAGTTCAAATGCATAATGAAATGGGAGAGATGAAGATGATAACTTGAGAAGAGGAAGAGCCAAAAATCCTTCAGGAGTTGTTCAGGCTATGCGGATCCTGGAAATATTCTAAAGGTCCCTCTAGAATGTAATTTTACATTCATTCTTTTAGTGTGCGTGCGTGCGTGTGTGCGTGCGTGCGTTCATGCGTGCGTGTGTGTGTGTGTGTGTGTGTGTGTGTGTCCGTTCTCTCCTTCCACCGTGTGAATCCCAGGGATCACACTCAGATGCTCAGGCTTAGAAGCCTTCACTCACTGAAACACCTCACCCACCTTAGAGAAATAATTTTGCCATATGGAAAATAGAGCCAGTCTTCTCATGAAATAATGAGGGGATGAAGGAATGAAGGAATGATGACGCCTTTCTCTGCTTCTCCCCCATTCTCTTCTGAATAGGGAAAAAATGCCGTTCCACCATGTGACCGCCGGCTTGTTGTACAAGGGGAATTATCTCAACCGATCTCTGTCTGCGGGCAGCGACAGCGAACAGTTGGCCAACATCTCTGTGGAAGAACTGGATGGTAAGGAGCTGCCTGGAAGGGGCGTACCTGCCTCCTGAAGCCATTTTGGATCATTGGGAAGCAACTTGGGGTGTTTGGGAAGGCAATTTGACTATTGGGAAACCATTTGGCGTATTGGCAAGCCAAGAGTGTTTCTCATTGGTAGTTGGGGCTAAGTAGGGAGGGTTGGGAAAGAGTTCAGAGACAAACTTTTGTCTAAGTGACTTTGTTGTGTGAGATGGACCTTGTAGGCCTGAAAAATTTATGATGACTATGGTTACCTTGGATACTGATTGGAGGATAAATTTGTTTTTCTTAAAAATCTGTTGTTGGAATCTTCTTGTGATGGCATATACCTGTCAGCACTCCACTGAGGCAGGGGAATGGAGAGTTGGTTAGCCAGTACTTCATGGGGGGAGGGGATAGGGCAAGGTCAGCATGAACTGTGTAATGAGGTGCTGTCTCAAAACACCAAAAACAAAAGACATATTATGAATACAGTTGGCAGGGTCTTTATAAGCAGAATTACCTTGTTTCCCTTATTGTCGTTTATAGAGGAGTACATCTGCAGGGCAGGCTTAGGCCCTGTTTATTGCTGTCTCTTGACTTGGGGCCATGGTACTTTGAATGCTGCCCAAATAAGCATCATCTGGAAGCTTCGTCTAGGTGGGAACAGGCAGCAATTATCTTAATTGCCTCCGTTCTTGTGTAACACAGCACATCGCTGAGTGCCCAGGACAAGGGTTTAGGATGGAAATTTATCCTGGGCATACAGTGCCCAAATTTATGTTTATGATGCTGGTCCATTGTATTTTGGATAAACCCACGCTCTTATTAAAAAAGAAAGAAAGAAAGAAAGAAAGAAAGAAAGAAAGAAAGAAAGAAAGAAAGAAAGA